AGATTCGGTTGTCATCTGTTATACGACAATTTTCCATTGACAATTGTTACTCCATCTATAATTAGCCCTCTCATTTAAGGGGATTCGAACCTCAACATTTTTACTGATATTATTACCCTCGTATATTCTCTATTTCATACGGGGGAATTAAGTTAGAAATTGAGTGACGCTCAACCATTGGTACGTGCAACGAATGACGAAGACCAATGTCCAGAACGAACTACCGCTGTGATAGATCTTAAGCTTGTATTTTCTTGTTCGATCCTGAGCTAGTCGGCCGTTTATGCGGCTGGTTTCAGGAAACACAGCCCCCACTGTTATATGCAATTTTGATTTGTTTAATTCGTTTGTTATTTTCTACAATACGAATGCACTTTGACGAGCTAACTGCTGGTAATATAACGACATTTATGGTTCTACCAACAAGAGCATCTTTTGTACTAAATCTAGAACTGAAATTTATACAAAGCTGTCTTCCACCTTGTTTGAGTAAATTTAAGGTACGTATTAGGGCTATATTTTTATGCTTTGTCAAATATAATCAAGCAAAATTTAAGATATCTAGTTTCAGTTTGGCGAAATCTTCTCTATGCACGGTTTCGCTTAAACTTATTACGTTTCACAAAAAAACGGAATTAGAAAACCCCTTAAAAGCATTAATATCGCTACGCTTTCAGAAAATATCAAAGTGAAAGGGGACGATTTCGTTTTGCAATCTTGCAATTTCACTAAAAAGCTCGTTCATACTCCATATAAAAATTTTAAGGTTAGGTACTAATAAATCAATAGCCTTTATGAAACTCTCAAGCTTTGTTCGCGTCTCGTCCCTTATAGATATAACACTAATTCGTCGTTCGAAGAATGTTATCGGTACAATAATATTTTAACGTTGCGGACGTCGACTTAGATTTCGTCCTTTCAAAAGGCACATTTAAGCAATTAATCTTTGGGTTTCGTATATGTCCGCCATTTGGATTTCCAAGCCACGTTTTAATGATAAATAATGAACTATGACCAAACTTTCTTGGAGAAGGAAGCTGCGTGATGGTAGACAGAAACAACGAAAAGTATTATTGAAAAAAGTTCTACGACATCAATAATAAAATAAGTCTCAACTGTACGTTTCTATTGATACACAAAGAACGTAAAGAAGACTGAATTGCACAATATTTAACAAAACTTGAGCACTGAGTTACCTATAAAATTGAGAATCGAAGCGCATAAGGTGTATATTTGAACTTCTGGCGGAGATCATCAAATAAACACGGAAACTGGGAGTAATAATGGTTGCTTTTTATGAGATATGAGTCTTTAATAGAAATTGACGAAGACTTTCACCTGGAATTCATTATTTTAGTGCGAGCGTTGCAGTGCATAGATAAAATCGATAATAAATCTCCCTTCAGTTTAATACATCTACGTCGCAATAATGATTCTGTCTCGTTTATCATTAAAGTTTAAAGTACCTAATCTTCAAGCTCTGAAGGTATCCATTTATTTCGTCTTAGTTTATCGTACAAGCGACTAACCCAGATATTGATGAAACAAGAGACCCCCGCTTAATCAAATTCTTTTTTTAAGAACGAGGCTTTTGATCGTTGATTTATAACAGATTACCTTAACGAAATAAAATTGGGTTTTCAGATGGCCAAGGCTTTGATGTTGGCATTTTAGTGGTAGGTACTTAAACTTTTGAGTAAAATTTCTGTTTGATGAGGCCGACAATCATAAATTGGAAAAGAATTCTTGGTCTTACAGTAGTCGATAAAATAAGTTACGATTTAAAATGATAACACAAATAAATATTAATCCCAAATTGTTGGATAAGGTCCTTTAGGATGATCATGAAATTGGCCAATTTATTGGCCAGACGAAATCATATTGCAAGAAGAAAACAACTATATGATAATCGCAAAATGGAACGTGAATCAGCAGAATAAGAAGCTAAAAAGATTTTTAAAAGCCATACTAGCTGTACACGAAACTCGTATGATAAGGGTTGATATATTATAGAAAACTAAAGCTTATTTGGAAGTGAAACAATAAATTATAGGTTGATGGGATGAGTAATGCAGAAAAGAAACCGAAAGATAGAATGTTAACATATAAATTCTTACAAACACAAAAAGTTCCAATAGTCATACAGAGAACAGAGGACAAAATTTACAGAAATGATGAAAAGTTCAAAAGAAAAATTAATTGGGGAAAAGTTAAACAAAGTTTCGGATAAAAATAGAAAGTAAGTCAAAAGACTAGGGCACGTATCCTCTTCTATATGAATTTCATGAAGCATAGACCTACGATGAGGGTAAATTTACCTGGCCGAATTTTAATACTATCATAGAAGTAGAAGGCAACTTACTTAGGAATTTAGTACATAGCAGTTATTTAAAGAGATATTTCTGTTAGGTTGGAACTTTTCTAAACTTTAATTTTTCTTGTAGCAATTAGGCGACATTTTCGAAAGAGAATCGTAGCGAATGTTGTCCCGGAAATAAAAAAGAACTTGGGAATTATTTCGAGAGCGAGTTTCTTCTGCTTTTAGCGGAAGCACAGGTGAATTTTCCTTGAAAGTGAATCTTTTGGCGGGTAGTTCCCCAGAGACGAATATTCTAGTAGCGAATTTGTTTGAGCGAGTTTCTTTAGACCTGATTCACTTAATCAAAACATCCCGTAGCAGGTAAGAGATAACATGGTTCAAATATCTCCGTAAAGTTGATTGAAATCACTCCACATTTCGATTTTCAGGTTTCACCGGATCTTTACATTGCAAGGTCCCCGGAGTCCAAAAGACCCCTACCGATTTGGTTGAAATTTAATGAAGTCACGCATAATTTAAAGAACCTTTATAGGGTTTTTTAGGGGATGATACGTTTAAGTTTATAATCAAGGTGAATATTTTAAAAATTCCTACCTAAACATCCCTAAAACACCCCATTACGTTCCTTGAAAAGGCGACAAAGTTTAAAAACTGTTTTTAGTGAAATTAAAGAACTTTTATAGGGTTTTTAGGAGATGATACGTTCAAATTGATAATCAATTTACGTCACCCATAAAGGCGACTAAGTTTGAACATTATTTTTAATGGAATTGAGCATAAATTTATGAGTTTTCTTAGGGGATGATATGTTTAATCAATTCGAATATTTTAAAAGTTTCTACCCTAAAAAGGTCTGGCTCTACTACATCACGTTCTCTAAAAAAGGCGACCAAGTTTAAAAATTATGTTTAAGGAAGTAGAGCACAAATTAAAGAACTTTTATAGGGTTTTTACGGGATGATACGTTTATATATATAATCAAGGTGAATATTTTAAAAAATCGTATCTAAATATCCCTAAAATGGTCTGACTCCATAAAAAGGCGACTGAAGTTTGAAAATTATTTTTAATGAAATTGAACATAAACCAAAGAACTTTTATAGAGGTATTTTAGGGAATGATACGTTTAAATTTTTACTTAATCTGCATATTCAAAAAGTTCCTACCCAAACATCCCTAAAATGGTCTGGCTATACTCAGTTACGTTCTCTAAAAAAGTTTAAAAATTACTTTTAATGAAAATGAACATAATGAATGAACTTCTTAGGGCTTTTTGGGGGATGATACGTTTAAATTTATAATCAAGGTGAATATTTTAAAAATTCCTACCTAAATATCTCTAAAATGGTCTGGGCTCTACTCCATTACGTTCCTTAAAAAAGGCGACTAGGTTTGAAAATTATTTTTAGTGAAATTTAGCATACGTTACAGCACTTTTATAGGGTATTTTAGGGAATGATACGTCTAAATCCAAAATCAATGGGAATATTTTAAAAATTCGTACCTGAACATCCCTAAAGTGTTATTTACCCTTTCTAAAAAAGGCGACTGTTTTAAAATTACTTTTAATGGAATTGAGCATAAATGAAAGAACTTTTATGAGTTTTTTTTAGGGGAGGATACGTTTAAATTTATAATCAATTCAAATGTTTTAAAAATTCCTACCCAAACATCCCTAAAATGGCCTGGCTCTACTCCATTATGTTCCCTAAAAATGGCGACCAAGTTTGAAAATTATGCTCGCAAGCGGCTTGACGAATTTTTTTTTGAATTTGCTAGTAATCAAGTAAATAAGTGAAATAAGACTCCCAGACACCGTTAAGAGATTTTCCACACAAGGTTTCGTTTCGGAGAAATCATCATCAGCTTTGTTTTCTTATATGGTCGGTAAAAAAACTACATACCTACTGTATTGAGTAACATTTTTTTATTACGAATACAATTTGTTTTTTCTTTTGTGTGCCTTACATCGTACTCCTAATAAAAAATTATACTCAATACAGTATGTACTTTTTTATCTTGGACACAATGTATATAGTTTTTATTTAAAATAGTGGAAAACAGTGTATATATTTAAAAAAATCCAAAACCACGAGACGACGTACTAAATTGATTAGAAATGCATCAAATCAGACTTATTTTTACGTGAGTAACAATGTTACATATTTATTTACGGTTAATTTATTTAGTTTGTGCTTGTGTTGGGAGTTTTCGGGGCACCAAGAAGGGTTGCACTGGTAAAATGAACTATTAATGACATCAACGACAGAGGTGCAGTTTTTGTGATTAAAATTTAGGAAACAAAAACTGCTAGTGCAATTCATTTCATAAAGAAAATGAATTGAATGCCCCGTATTTGTATATGAAATGTAATTGCATCCGAAAGAAATGATAAAGAAAAGCTTTTTATGCCCTCGAAATGGTCGATGTATTGCCCAACCAAACCTTTTCAAGAAACGAAAGATTTGCGGGTGGTAATCATCTACATTTTCACTAAAAAAAGTTTTAAGCATTTGTAGGCACTGTTAGAATAATTAATTCATACAACTCATACTTTTAAAGTGTCCTGATACGAAACTTAGTTGTTTGTCGGTTATTACTACCGCCATCATTAATTTCAGTAAATTATACTAGTTATAGACTGTCAGATATTGTTTGTTAACACAAACTATTGTTTCAGACTGTTCATTAGCTGGAATACACCTGTCTCATTCGAAAGCGACAATAGAACTTGGCCATAACTTTATGGTAACGTGTAGAGATGAAGCCGGCCGCCCTGTGTCTTGGAGCGGACCCAAAGGAACGTTAGGCACGAAAAGTCACCCAGGAGTTGAAGTTAGCTCATACGGCACATCCCTCGCCTTTGTTCCGGTCACTAAGGAAGACAGTGGAACTTACAGCTGCCGCGTGGGTCACGACGTTTCCCAATTTCATCTTACAGTTGAAGGTTAGTGTCATAATGCGTTAGTTCCATTAATCTACACGTGTCAAATCGGTAATTATTCTCATATACGAAACTACGTGACTACGATGTAAAAAAGTCCGAATCGATCTAAAAGTTGGAGATGTTAAATTTGACGCGCGTTGATAAATTGGATTATAGTTCATTTCGTGCCCCACAAATCATCTATAAAAGGTCACGTAACATGATTTTTCCGAAATTACGGTGATTGCGCTTTTGAATCGGAATTTCGGCGATAACAACGTCAAAGACGTTTTTGTAAGGGATGCTTGATTTATTTTCTTTATGATGAGTATAAAGTGTCCGACTCGCGCGTCAAAGAGTTTCGTAAAAGCAAACCTCGGTCCTTTATGGCGAAAATAAATTCCCGGTTGTCACGGTCGCTTTCTCTAAAGTGAACATACCTTTCTGGGCAATTTACCTAACAGCACTATCGTTTGTATTGTGGTATACAGTTCACGTCATTTTAGTACATTGTTAATTGAGATTTAACTTATAAACTCAGTTAAATGAAGTACGAGTATTGAAACCTAACCCAAATTGATGCGTTGAACATAGCTAAAATTTTCCGCAAATTGTTGTCTTAAGACGAGCGAGTTAACTACAATTAAAATTCACGATGTGAGAAGACGATAATACACAGAGTACATATTATTTAAGTGAATAGTTATTGTTCAGAAATAGAATACATACAGTGTGTTCCAAATTAAGTCGGCACTATTGCTAACTTTCTTAGTTGTACGGTTAGAAAGACGGTTTAATTACCAAAATTGTGTATTTTTGTCTACTGAATCCAAATTTGTAATTAAACTACAAAACATCCCATTTTTCAGAACCATGTGGCGGCTTATTAAATTCTCTACAGAAGTTCTTAATGTACCATATCCAAAATACTTTAAATAACTAAGATCTTTTAATTTTTAGTATCATTTTGCTCTAAAATTATCCATGAAAATACATTACAGTATTATAGTATTTAAAACAATAACCGGATCTTGGTATCTAAGAATAAACGGTAAAATTAGTAATATACATATAAAAGTAACTATTAAAAAAGGTGATGCAACTTTGTTTCTACAAATTTTTTCGAAAAATTACATTGTTTTGAGGTACGGGCTCTTGAAGATAAGCAATTTTCAGAAAACTCACGTTTTCAATCAAACTTTTTCCTTTAGCTCATGACCTGTTCACTTTTTACGTACAACAGGTATTAGGGTGGAAATAAACTGGTAAGTTTTCTCATGTAAGTTGCTGTCTGATAGTACTGCCGAGTGATAATGTTACTCATGCTCGAAAATTAAGAACCGCTCTGAAGTTGTGGGAAAACTTCCCCGGAGGTTTCGTATACGTTTCGATTTGCAACCCTTTCAACCACACATTTGCGAAAAAAATTGGAACTACACGAGTTATTTTTTCTATTTACTAAATGACTGCTCGACAAAAATGCATCAAATTCATGTCTTGGGCATTGCGGTTATGATCTTAGTCGTTTTCCCAACAATGCTGGTGCATGAAAAACGATTTTGGCATGCCTTAGAAAAGCAATTTAACTCTTTGAATCAAATACACGCGGTTATTAAATGTGCATGTGACGTACTCTTTCGGCATGAAGATAATACGTTTGAAAGCTCCAAATTTATGTGTAACGCGAGGTGTAACGAATAATTTTGAGTAAATTTTTCTCTAAAACTTTTGACCTAGATTACAGAGAAGAATTGTGACAAAGAAGTCCGAACTCGATACATGACCTAGGGAATGAATTATGCTGATTTCTATTAGGTATATTGAATACTGCACAGTTTTTCTGTTCCCGATTCACTCGAAGTCCTATAACTTTTGTTCTTGTTGAGCCAGATTCATACCTTAATATTCAAAGTTCAACACGGTCGGCCACATTTAAAAAGAATTATAGCGCACATCTACGGACAGACGGACGGATAAACCGACGGACAAAAATTAAAAGCTATAAAAAGTATGTATGGATCTTAACTAAGAGTTGTAACGAGCACAGACAAACGGGCGGACAATCATACGAAACTATAAACGATCTGAGGATCCTTAAAGTGCCAGAGATCTCAGAAAACGTAAGGGTTGCAGTTGTTGCACGGTTGATAATTCTAATTGAAATCCGAAAGCAATACGCACGCATGAATTTTAAAATTTAAAAATCTTTAAAAAAGTGAGTACCTGAAAACCAAATATATCAAAATCTGTTAACTCTAAGGCAAAAAAATGTTACAGTGTTACAGGTCGCTATTTTGGTACGAAAATGCCTCGCAAAATCAAACTTAGCTTTGAAACTCCATTTCTAAACGTTTAATTCTAAAATGTGACCTGCTAAGATCCTCTAAAAATTAATTTGAAGCTGCAGACGTGAAACGTAATTTCAAGTTTAAAGTCTGAATAACATTCTTAACTTCTTTCAACTCTTCATTTTAAAGGAGAACCCTGCAGATTGAACAATAAAGCTGAGACCTTCAACAGAAATTTGAAGCCCATTATTTTACAATATGAACCATGAAAATAGCACACAAAATAATTTTAGACTGAGATCTTGAAATGGAGTTGCACATCTGAAGTTTGAAAGACATTCTTGGCATCAAATTTGAATTCGAAACCCTGCATTTTATATTTGGACCATGAAGATCATACAAAAATAAGCATTTCAAATTTAAGGTTTGAAAGACATTTCCTAGGACATTCCTACCTTCAAGTTTCTATTAAAATTCTTGAAAAACGAAATTTTAAGTTTGAAGTTTTAAGAACATTCATATTACACTTTAAAATATGAACTATATAATAAGATTACTATAAGAACATTTTCCCCTGTGATGAACCGTTGTCAATATACAAGCAGAAAATTGCAAAATTAAACCTTTGACCCACCCCCTCATCACGATTCGTCTCCTAGGCATCAGGTACGTTCACTACTTAAGCACTCTGAACAAGTATGGCTTAGATGGCTGCTCACGGAGCCTACACATTTGATTTTGACATTATGGCTTTCACAGAAAATTTCAGATGAGACGGTAGAAATCGTGGGGACGTTTTTGTAATGAAAGTTTGGGGAAGGTCGTGTTGGAATTTATGTAAAAGCCAAATTTAATTACAAAATAGTAATTAGTTCCTATTATAAGGGTTTTGAACAAGTGTGGATCAGACTGGTTTGTCTTAGCGACTTCAATTTAAGCATTTAGAAACGGATGGCAGTAGGGTGAACCAGTTTCAGGCGTTTTTAAAAGCGATGGGGTTAGAACAAATTATTAATGAACCCACCAAGATCTCAAAAATTCATTTATCGCAGCATTTATGATCATTTCACAAACAAGGTTAAAAGAAAATATCTAAGGGGATGCTTTAGGAAATGTTTACATTGCGCTTACACTAACCATGTAAAAATTGATTCTTATATCATAATTTTCGTTTCAGCTTTTTTAAAATGCTAATTTTCAATTTGCCTTATTCACAAGTCAAATGTTCCAAGGAATGAATTTCAATTTTTGATCTTCATGCCAAATGAAACAATAATTGTGGTCAACAATTGAAACTGGTGCTGCTCTCAACGAAAGGTGAAAATAAACACTAAATGATTTTTGAGCTCCTAGTTGTTATACAAACTTTACGGATGATGTGACTAATAACAAAATCGATTTGTGTAAGTGCAGTGTTATTTCTGCCCTAAAGCACCATCATTTAAGCTTTTAATTATTGCAGACCGGGATGTCCGAGCACCTTTATTTAATAATTGTCCCCAATTACGGCTTGTATTGAAATGAATATATCAATACGCAAGTTTTTGTGGCCCTTTAATATAAATATTTGAGCTTTTCAAGGAAAATCTCGGAAAAAGTTTGAACTATTCAGTTCTGGTAACTTGCCTGTAGCGAAGAGACACGTCCAGTGACCATAAACCGTTGTGGTTTGAGTAAACTTGCACTCGGTGGTTAGATTAATCAAGCAAATGTCCTACTTTGCATACGAGTATTGGTATGAACATTTCACTAGCGTGACCTCTAAATTCGATTTCTGTTGGCGCAATGTAAACAAAAATTCAGTAACTTTTGCCAAAGTAGTCCCTTATATAATCCCACTTTCCGAAACTAAAAATCGCACCATTAAAATAATTGCTCTGGAAAATGTTAAGAGTAAAACGTAAGGCCCTTTTAGTAGAACAAAGCGTTCGCACGGAAAATAAGATAAAAGCTTCGGCATTCTCTCGAAATTCATAATTAAGCGTCTTACGGTGTTTGTCTTCTTTTTCTTTAAGTTCTCTTATCGATCTTATTTCATGTTTCTTGTAACTCACTTTTAGAACCCTTCTGGTAGTATTGTATACAGCTTTTGTCTTCCCGTAATTAATGCCGACACACAAAGAGGAGAGTCTATTATGCGTCTTCCTCTACGCTATTTAAGGTAATCAAGCTGAGCTACCGTCATGAAAAATTCGCTTGTTTATAGTTTTTTTTAAGTACGTTCTCTACATCTTTTACCTTTAGCTTTAGTTGATGCCGTCGCGTATAATGCTTTTGAAGAGTGAGAAGATCGCAAATGAATCCATGTGAAATGTCAAGTAACATCAATGGTAACATACACAATTATCCTAACATTCATTTTAAATAAGCTAAGTCGAAATTGAATGTCATTTCAAAATAATGGATACAACATAACACAGTTAGTGAACCATTAGATCTGGTAATAATCTAAATTGCTGTGTATATCCATTTAATGCAAACGAGAGATGGACGAGATAATTTATTTATTTGACATTCCCCCCCCCCCCTGGTGAATAATGCGTTGTAGCGTTAAAAGATATAAAATATTGTTTGTACGTAAAACTGGAGCACGTATCCTTTAATATTAAAACTAAATGGAAGATGAAGGGATAAAAGACCGTTTGTACCTATACAATCTAATTTTGATTTTACTCTCTCTTTCTTAAATGTATTGTATTATTTAAAAAAATTGAGATAGAAGTGTAGAATTTCTTCTAAACCTTCAACATCCATTACGCCCAGGATTACGCCTTATAAAAATTTAATGGACTACCTATAAGAATCAAAGTCACAGTGATTTGAAAGGTACAAGCACAATCAGAAATTCTGTCCCCTAGACGCTCCTCGTGGTTTTATTAGTTACATATTCGACTGGTGACGTATGTTGTGTTTTAAACGGTATTTTGTAGTTTAGGTAAATAGTATTTTAGGGTAGATAAGTCGAGTGAAAACAAAAATTCTTCCCCAAACCAAACAAATTTAGATTTTAAGAAATGATAAATAGTAGATACTTTCTTTTCTTTAAACTATCTATTATTATTAATTCAATGTCAGTACGTCTTTCTTTTGACGTTACCACAAATAGCAGTATACGATATAAGAAGAGAAAGCTTGCATCATTTACTGAAGGAAATCGGTTTCAAATTTAAAATGGTCAATAATAGACGCGGTTTGTGCGAACAAAGCCGTGAGATTGCTGCGGAATGTATTTTTGCGAAAATACCTAAACAATCCTGAATCCAATGTTGTTTTAGATTATTTTATTTAATCGACTTGGCTTTCGAAGAGTTAGATTTTGTTTAATTTCTATTATAGTTCAAAAGTTACGGCCTTTCGAATTTTTTTCGAAATTGTTTTCTAGTCTATAACTTTTGATTGAAAAGTCTGATCGAAAAAGTACGATTCGTTTTGGAGTCTACGCACCAAAATCAATAAGAAAAAGTGTTTTCCCGAGAAATTTTGGAGTGATCGATTTTAGGAAAAAAAGGAAGGTTGTACACTGCCTTTTTTGAGCCCCGAAAAAAAAATTGTCTCATTTCGACCGGAAAAAAACATTTCCATCCATAATTTCAAACAGTTCCGAGATTGGGCTACTAGTTCAAAAGTTACAGCCTTTTGAATTTTATTCGAAATTGGTTTCTAGTCTATAACATTTGATTGAGAAGTCTGATCGAAAAAGTACGAATTGTTTTGGATTCTACGCACCAAAATTAATAAGAAAAAGTGTTTTCCCGAGAAATTTGGGTGTAGTCGATTTTTGGAAAAAAAGGAGGTTGTAACACTGCCTTTTTTGAGCGCCCGACAAAAAAATTGTCCCATTTTCGAACCGGAAAAAAACATTTTCGTACTTCCAGGACTAAAGTAAGAACTTCACTCCATTATGACAAGTACTGAAGTGTCACTTTTTGTCCCGCCGGGATTAAATTTAGACGAAAATCCCGGAAGGATGAAATTACTAAGAAGGCAATTTCAGTAGGTTGTTCTACATTTTGTATGCGGCACTACTTCTTAAACGCATCGTACTGCTGCTCATATAGTTTTTTGGATTTCGGTGGTATCAATTCTATACCTACTTTGGCTGCTTTTTATCAATATCAAATACACCTTTGTCACCCACCACCAAAATTATGACACTAGCAATGACAGTTTTCCAAATTATTTTTGTTACCATAGCATAGGGATTGTCATACCAACGCAACGTTCCTATGGTAACTTGTTAAGCAGCGATTTTTTAAAGAACGCGTTCTCTAACTTCATACATATTAAGTGTTTCGGTTTCGGAAGTACGAAAAATATCGTATATACCTTGCGACTGAAGTAGTGGTCTTAATCCCTCAGGTAAATTATGGCCCTCCCTTCGGTCGGGCCATAAACTTTACCTTCGGGATTAAAAGTACTACTTCAGTCCCGCGGTATATAATATACTATTTCTTATAGAATGTGGCCTGTAGAATCCATAATTTCAAACAGTTCCAAGATTGGGCTACTAGTTCAAAAGTTACAGCCTTTTGAATTTTTTTTTTTATTTCTAGTCTATAACTTTGGATTGAGAAGTCTGATCGAAAAAGTACGATTCGTTTTGGATTCTACGCACCAAAATTAATAAGAAAAAGTGTTTTCCCCGAGAAATTTAGGTGTAGTCGATTTTTGGTAAAAAAGGAAGGTTATACACTGCCTTTTTTTGAGCCCCGAAAAAAAAATTGTCTCAGATCGACCGGAAAAAAATTTTCTTATAGAATGTGGCCTGTAGAATCCATAATTTCAAACAGTTCCAAGATTGGGCTACTAGTTCAAAAGTTACAGCCCTTTGAATTTTCTTTCGAAATTGGTTTCTAGTCTATAACTTTTGATTGAGAAGTCTGATCGAAAAAGTACGAATTGTTTTGGATTCTACGCACCCAAATTAATAAGAAAAAGTGTTTTCCCGAGAAATTTTGGTGTAGTCGATTTTTGGTAAAAAAGGAAGGTTATACACTGCCTTTTTTTGAGCCCCGAAAGAAAAAATTGTCTCAGATCGACCTGGAAAAAAAATTTTCTTATAGAATGTGGCCTGTAGAATCCATAATTTCAAACAGTTACTAGATTGGGCTACTAGTTTCAAAAGTTACAGCCCTTTGAATTTTCTTTCGAAATTGGTTTCTAGTCTATAACTTTTGATTGAGAAGTCTGATCGAAAAAGTACGAATTGTTTTGGATTCTACGCACCAAAATTAATAAGAAAAAGTGTTTTCCCGAGAAATTTTGGTGCAGTCGATTTTTGGTAAAAAAGGAAGGTTATACACTGCCTTTTTTTGAGCCCGAAAAAAAAATTGTCTCAGATCGACCCGGAAAAAAAATTTTCTTATAGAATGTGGCCTGTAGAATCCATAATTTCAAACAGTTCCAAGATTGGGCTACTAGTTCAAAAGTTACAGCCCTTTGAATTTTCTTTCGAAATTGGTTTCTAGTCTATAACTTTTGATTGAGAAGTCTGATCGAAAAAGTACGAATTGTTTTGGATTCTACGCACCAAAATTAATAAGAAAAAGTGTTTTCCCGAGAAATTTGGTGCAGTCGATTTTTGATAAAAAAGGAAGGTTTGTACACTGCCTTTTTTTGAGGCTCGAAAAAAACATTGTCTCAGATCGACCCGGAAAAAGAATTTTCTTATAGAATGTGGCCTGTAGAATCCATAATTTCAAACAGTTCCAAGATTGGGCTACTAGTTCAAAAGTTACAGCCCTTTGAATTTTCTTTCGAAATTGGTTTCTAGTCTATAACTTTTGATTGAGAAGTCTGATCGAAAAAGTACGAATTGTTTTGGATTCTACGCACCAAAATTAATAAGAAAAAGTGTTTTCCCGAGAAATTTTGGTGCAGTCGATTTTTGGTAAAAAAGGAAGGTTTGTACACTGCCTTTTTTTGAGGCCCGGAAAAAAAAAATTGTCTCAGATCGACCCGGAAAAAAAATTTTCTTATAGAATGTGGCCTGTAGAATCCATAATTTCAAACAGTTCCAAGATTGGGCTACTAGTTCAAAAGTAACAGCCCTTTGAATTTTCTTTCGAAATTGGTTTCTAGTCTATAACTTTTGATTGAGAAGTCTGATCGAAAAAGTACGAATTGATTTGGATTCTACGCACCCAAATTAATAAGAAGAAGTGTTTTCCCGAGAAATTTTGGTGTAGTCGATTTTTTGGTAAAAAAGGAAGATAATACACTGCCTTTTTTTGAGCCCCGAAAAAAAAATTGTCTCAGATCGACCCGGAAAAAAAATGTCTTATAGAATGTGGCCTGTAGAATCCATAATTTCAAACAGTTCCAAGATTGGGCTACTAGTTCAAAAGTTACAGCCCTTTGAATTTTCTTTCGAAATTGGTTTCTAGTCTATAACTTTTGATTGAGAAGTCTGATCGAAAAAGTACGAATTGTTTTGGATTCTACGCACCAAAATTAATAAGAAAAAGTGTTTTCCCGAGAAATTTTGGTGTAGTCGATTTTTGGTAAAAAAGGAAGGTTATACACTGCCTTTTTTTGAGCCGCGAAAAAAAAATTGTCTCAGATCGGCCCGAAAAAAAATTTTCTTATAGAATGTGGCCTGTAGAATCCATAATTTCAAACAGTTCCAAGATTGGGCTACTAGTTCAAAAGTTACAGCCCTTTGAATTTTTTTCGAAATTGGTTTCTAGTCTATAACTTTTGATTGAGAAGTCGGATCGAAAAAGTACGAATTGATTTGGATTCTACGCACCCAAATTAATAAGAAAAAGTGTTTTCCCGAGAAATTTTGGTGTAGTCGATTTTTGCTAAAAAAGGAAGGTTATACACTGCCTTTTTTTGAGCCGCGAAAAAAAAATTGTCTCAGATCGACCCGGAAAAAAATTTCTTATAGAATGTGGCCTGTAGAATCCATAATTTCAAACAGTTCCAAGATTGGGCTATTAGTTCAAAAGTTACAGCCCTTTGAATTTTTTTCGAAATTGGTTTCTAGTCTATAACTTTTGATTGAGAAGTCTGATCGAAGAAGTACGAATTGATTTGGNTACACCTGCAACAATACACCCTACTGCGGTAAAACCAAACCAACACTTTATAAAACTCATTACACGCTCCCTTTATGACAGGGAAGTCATTGTCTAAACGTGATAGAAAAGAGCACTAGGTGATCCCAGATCCAAAGAACACTCCACAAAAGGTAGCGGTCGGATGAAATGTTCGCAATTGCTCTTTTCCCTTTTATAGAGTACCCTATAACCAATACTTGCGGAAGATTTACAAAGGTACCTATTATTGTTCTCTTTGTCGTGGATTAAGTATGACACGACTATTCCTTTCTTACGAATTGGAATATTGAGATGTTCACATTCATTACACTGTCACCGCCAGGGAATGTGCAAACCAAACCAGAGCATAAAAATTTTAATATAATTTTTAATTACAGTTCCAATTACGTTTATGGATACGCCACCCGAACAAATCGGCGAAGAGAACTTGGACGTAACGTTGCGTTGCGAGGTGAAAGGAGGAGATAAAACGGTATTAATTTGGACTAGCGAAGGAAAAGAATTGCAACGTAAGTAGATTAGTTTTAATTAAATAGAGAATTGATCACGAAATCCTCATTTGCGTAATTTCGAAATTAGAAAGCTACATAACAACCAATAAAAAGCTAATGTCAAAAACTTGATAAAACTGTCACGTCGGGTCCAAAGGGGAACATCCTGCTAAACGCTCTTGTAGGCATTGTTGTAATACCATTCCATCGATTTTTAATAATGCATACGTACGTGATGAAAATAAAATCAAACTTTTGTAGCGTATTGTTCGCGTTTTCAAATCGAATCACGCTAACTAGGGAGCCGATGTAATTATATTTTCAGCATAGGAACGTAACCCTTATGTGCGCGCATACTTAATTGAATCCCAATGGAACGTCCCTTGAAGAAAAAAACAAAGGGCGTCGTTCGAATTGAAATTTACTAATTTAGTACCTTTTCGAAGTCAAGATGGAAGCAGCCCAACTTTCTTACATTTACATAATACATACGTAGCCAACCTATTTCATATCGAACCTCATAAAATCGCTATGAGACAAGTTTTGTATCAAATTTAGCACCACTCGCATGGACTTCCATCGATTATTTGTCTACCAACAGAATTGCCGAATTCAATTTTTCCTCTCACGGCGTGCTTCAGCGAGATTTCGCAATCTGATTAATTTCGTTTCAGGTCTACTGCACCTTTTACATATTTCAGACAATTAGTCTTGTAAACCCGGCAACGTTTGTCGTTGTCCATATTTAAACTGTAACCAACCCTTTTGCTTCTACAAACACGATTAGTTTGCGACATTTGTAGATTACGAATTATAAGATTCGTTTGCCTGATGGGTGTAATTTATTCGATTACGCTGCAAAATCTCAATTTTATGAATATTCCACGATAACACTGAGATTGATGTGGAGCTGGAACTTTGCCGCTTTACGATGTATATATTTTATTAACGCAATAAAATATTTCATCATATCTGGGATTTTCTTCTATTTCCCTTATAAAGGACCACTTTTTATGAAACTCCACTTTACGAGTTTGGAGAAATTCAAATACTATTGGATGGAAAATATTGCTCATTCCCGCTTGGATTTGAAAATAGTTGCATTCGGGCACAAACCACACAAGTCTAATTAGCAGAACAGCGATTCCAAGTGGCGAATGCGGAAACTCAAACCGTCTTGGGAGCATGACACTAGAAAACTTTAGCTGCCAACTAATTGAACTTGCCCTACACAGAAACAAGTATGTAAGGTGCAATGTTTGTTATCATAGGGAACTATTCTATTAATGCTACATTGTGGAGAGAGCAAGAGATGTTGAAAACACAAACCATTTTGAATCCTACTTGAATGTCCGTTGCCAATGTGGTCCGGTCCCTGAAATTTGTATACAGGTTCCTCTCATAACGCGACGACCCACATTAAATCCGGCCCTGACGACTGAGCCAGAAATCTGAACAAATCTTCCTTATTGCCAATGTCCTGTAAATCGGCCAGTCTATTGGAAATGTCGTCTTTTACCGCGAGTGTGGTTCTTCGGGCTATCGGGAAGATACCTATCCCACACGACATCAATGCCCTGGATATTATTAGTGAATTCTTTACGAACAATCAGGTCCAACAGGCGCTCTGCATAGTCTTTGAAAGTGTAAGCTAGGACTAGGTACAAAAAAATTGATCACAATGCTCCATATGTTTTTTTGGGGCGAGTTAAATTTTACAAAAAACGAAGGGGTAGGCAACTCGAACTTAATGGGCTCAAATTATAACCCGGAGTACCATAAGAAGTTTATGTGATTTAATTACTTACATTCCTAGCTAATTATGCTAATTATTCAGTTTGGAGCTAAAATACTGAAAAAATCAAAAAAATATCGAAATGGGCTAGTTAACGCCTAAGTATGTAGGCAACTCCTACTCGTATGAGCTCGCCTGTGCCCCTGTAGTAGAGTAATAGTAGTAGAATCGAAAAAAATTAGTCCAGTCTTTAGCAATCATTTGCGTAAGCAGCCTCACCCTTAAACGGGGATTTAAGGGCAAACGAGCGTTGCACCACGTCGGAAGGGTCAAAAATCATATTTGCCAATTTATACCTTTACTCAATAGTGCCAACTTTATCTCATTTTAGGACCTAAGCACCCAGACTACCAGTGGCTTTTTGGCCGGACGCTTTATCGGAAAAGTCCCTGGATGATCCTTAAATAAAATAAATAATCCCCACTCTAGAATTTTATCGAGGGCATTCTCCTTCTGGGACTCCAAGGAAAGAAGTACATTTCGGACCTTAAGAGCGGCTTATAAGGAGATTTGATAAGAAACTTGAAGCGTATTTCTTGGGAACGTAGTGGGGAATCGAAGGAAAGATGAGGGGATACTCAAAAAAATTGTTAAAGAAGCTTGAGAAGGGATTATTAGGAAATTCAATTAAGAAAGGTGAGGTGGAGGGGGGTCATGAAGTAAACTTCAATATTTATTGGGAACTCACGTTGAAGGAAATTTTGACAAACACTTTTGAGTAACTTAGAAGCTTTAGAAGGAGCAGGGGGGAAATTGGAAAAAAAGCCAAATTTAACAGGAAATTGTGAACGCAGAAATTAATGAAAAATGAAATTTCCGCACCTGGAGAAAAACCTTAGGAAGAAGTTGATTGGGGCCCGAGTGGAATTTTTGGGGCATAACAGAATCATTTGGGGGGAACCATAAGTTGAACGTGGAAATTCCTGGTACAACGAAAAACTAATTAGATTTCTAATTATTCCGACACACACACTCCATAGGAAAAATACTTCAGTTTATTATGTATATTTAAATTTTCTGATTCAGCATGATGCCTGGAATAACAGTGTGAAACCCAGAATCGCCAAATATCGTTTCCGATTCTCGGTCATGTTTTCTGAACGAAAATGATTCGGATTTCGGTTTTGAAAAAACGAACGATTCCGGTTTGTACTTTTTATTCGGTCCGATTCGGATCCATGCTTGTAGGTGACTTGGTCGAAGCGAGATTTTTGCCGAAGTAACGCTTAAAATTTCATATCACACATTCGCGAAGGTTTAGATGAGTTCATACTCGCTTGGTTATTAACGCGCCTCGTATATTTGTTATGTATTGTACGCCTAATATTATTACAATTATATCTAACAATAAAATGTAATCTCGACGGTTTGAGTTCGAGAACAACAATTAAACGCGTCAATTGTGTAAAACAATAGAACAAACGGGTAGAATTTTGTCTCGCTTTGACGTATTCTCATTAGGGAGAGCGATATCTGATCAAAAATTAACGTTAAACTGCCATGAGAGACTTCCTCTTTTGTTAAAGGTAAATCGAAAAGTTGTCATTTTAAAAACGTGATTACGCCGAAAATCCGCCGTAATTGCAAAATATCCGGGAAGATAACATTTTATATTTATAGAGACGCTCTCGTTTGGAAACTCGCTTAATAAAACTTTGGGGAAAATTTTCGAATTGAGTGTTTATGCAAGACGATAAATTAAAATTTCTTTACATTATTAATGGTTCGTTTCATTCTTCTTTTTTTTGAAAATACAATTTTACATAAATTGTTTATGGTGTGCTTACGTATTGTGTCTACAAGAGATTCAACTACCTTCAAGGCTTGTTTTAATTTTAAATTATTCCTAAAATGAGCTTAAAATTCCAGAAATGAATTTGTTTTGTAAATTGGTGTCAATGGTTGAAGAATGTCTAAAGCTAACGGTTCTAAAAGGATCATAAAACTATTTTAAAATCGTAAATTTTCAAAAAATTCTACTAGAATTTTGAATAAATTTAAAAAAAGCTTCTATTACCTAATTACCTTCATAGTGGTATATACTGCCGTATACAAAAACCTAAGCCTCCTCTCGAGACAGTCTGTAACATCTTCTGAAACAAATAACTCTAAAGAATTACGAGAATTTGTTGAGGCTATAAGACAGTGTTCTAAAAGAGAGGGTTTTGAGTATGTGATGGAAGCTCCTTAAAAGAAAGCACAGAACGGGTTGCAGTAGACCCAGTTATACATGTAACTTTTTCTTCAATCTTAAGTCGCAAGAGCCGCTGGAATAGAGATACGTGTGAGAAATTTAAGGCCACTCTTTTCATCGAACTAATTTTGGGAGTTAATGCAGGAAAGGGAAGGCCTTATTAGAATTTAAAATTTCAATGGGGAAGAATTGACCACTTTCTTTAAATTGTTTATGAATGGCTCTCATTCCTAAAATGTCAAGTCTGGGTTGTTTATTGCAAAAGTGAAGGTTCTTTATGTTTTCTATCGAAAAGGAGTGGGCGGAATTTAACGTAGATTAAATTTTGAATAACGCGCGTTCGATAGGAACATATGAAACTAAAACCACTCGACTACGATTCGTGGTTTGAACAGTGCACGCGTTTCATTATGGCGTTCATATAATAATTAATAACTATGAATAGATTTCAAAACCTTAAAAGTACCCTAATAGAATAAGGGCTGCGTGAGCTTTGCCATCAAATCCTCACAATTAACTTTACGAGATGCGTCAAGAACTCTAAACACAATTCCAAACTTCTTTGTATGCTAAGCCCACAGTAATAATTTAACGTTAAAATCCGGACCACCAAATCAAATCTAAAGCTTACTTAAGTTGACATTATGAGTCTTTCATTGCGTTATTATTGTTTTTTTATTATACCTGAATCACAATCTCCGTTTTAAACACTCAAATGCGTGCGAAAAAGGGCCTTTAAAACACACGTGCTTTAAAGTTGCTAAGTAACGATACTTCAAGCATGACTTTTGAAACTGTTATCTGGGTGAAATAAAAAATCTTCCTAAGTCGCTTTCTGTAAATGCAGAACATTTCTTTGGCTTGTAGGTACCTATCCTTTGGTTGAAGCTTTTACAAACGCGCGTAATTTAGGGTATGCTTCCAAATCTGGTCAACTTTTTAGTCCCAGCAATAAGTGAAGTTTTGAATGAATGCACCAAAAGATCAAAGATTTAAATACCTTTGACATTTCCTTCATATATGCTAGCATTATCGATGCATTTAAGACTTAATTCGTAAGTAACTTCCTATTCATCTATGGAAACAACTTTTCATATGCTTGATAATAGGCTTTACTGGATTGAGATTTTACACCTACCAACGTTTGTTTAGATTTTACAACAAGCGATTTAATGGACGGTGTATTATCTTTTTCAACGGAAATCGTTTTACTCACAAAGACGACGATTTTTATAAGCAAACATCAAGAGACATTTCCATGGCAATCGTGAAATTACGAACACCCAGCCCACTTAATTAGACATGTATTCGAGTATAACGTCAATATGATTTCATTGAATTTCCTATTTTTAAATTATACTGCAAGTATAATAAAAAATACTATAAGATACACGTGTATAATTGGTTTTTAAAGCACTTGCAACGTTAAAGGCACTCCGCTTTGCGTCGTGCCCTTAAACTCGTTGCGCGTGCTTTAAAGACTTGATTATACACTTGTATCTTAATATACTATTATTTAATAAAGGGCTTTCTTTCTAGTGTCGACATTATTTACGCTCCTTCCGATAAACGAAGTAATTTTCAATTGCAGCGAAGTGCAATTTTCAAAACACCGATTTGCAATACAATCATTTTAAACTCCTGTATAGTTTTCTCTTTGCCTTGGGCTCTTTAGTCTTACGTTGTAGTTTGCACGCCTTTACTTTGCAACTGTAAATCATGTGACTATGTACATTCTTATGGCAGTAGCACAAAATTTCTATTTTAATGCGTTAGGAAAGGCACATGTAATTTCAATTAACAGAAAAGACTGTACTTATGTGCAGATTTCAACAATAATTGCTATCATAACCATGAATTCATTTTCTTCATGTGCATAACGGGTTACGCTCTTTCCTGTTTTTCATAGCTCATATTTAGAGTTCAAGTCTAAAATGATTCTAAACGACTCTTTGTTGTCTTAGTTTACTGGGAGATCTTTCTTTATAAACTTTGCTGGCTAATAAACAATTTTTCTGGCATTCGCTCAGTAAAGAAGTCATATCAATTAAATCATTTTCTTCTAAATTCAATTTTTCTAACAAACTTAACTAAGTAACCAACAACCTTGCCAACAATCAATAACCGAAATGTAAATGCCGATAAACCAAACTAATAACAGATGTTATTTAGTTAATTTTAATGTTTTCCCATTATGACTTTTCATGGCTTATTATTATTAAAATTGATTAATTTAGGTTCACGCATTGGCTTCAATCGAGCTTTAATTTAAATGGAAAATTCATTATTTTATCTTTTAAAATGAGTTATGAAAAACATGAAAGAATTTTTGTTTTGTTTGTTTGGGGTAAATATTTTATAATTTGAATTGGTGTTTATAATTTTTAACGGCCTGCTAATTACTGAAAGGATTTGAAAATTGAAAAACATTAAATTATCAGAAAATGTGGAATTACAAAGTGAAAGGTAAACACGGACTTGCTTACGAAATCAAATCCAACATTTCATGCAATTAAAAACAATCTAGTTACCTTTGATTGAAATTTTGAAAATATACGAGAGTTAAGTAGCCGTTCCCATAAGAATCGCGGGACCAGCACCGCCTTTCCCAGGAAACAAGAAGCAAGATCAGGAAATTGTAATTTCATATTCATGTAAAACAACTTAGAAATTATTCCTTGTCATTAGCTTTTGCAATAAAGTCGATATCTTGTATTTTTGGCTTTTTTTTAAAAACGAGAATTGTTTCGCCAAATCTATAAAAAATCTGAGTTACGGCCTTTTAAGTTTTATGATAATTTCGATATTCACTTTTTCTGGACATCTGCTTTTTGAAAAAATGACAAATTGCGGATAAACCACTCATTTTAGATTCTACCCACACATTCATGGGTAGGTACCTATAAGGCTATAACAACTCAAAATGAAGTATAATTCCGGCTTAAATTCTGCAATTATTTTGATTTATAGATCGGAATTAGACTTGCATACGAGTTGGTCGGACAGTTTCAAACAAAGGTTGCTTCTGTATAGGATTAAATGAGAAAAACTGTGGAATGAAAAGTCAAACAATATTACCAGTAATATACCAAACAATGCCATTATACGAACGCGGACGTATACATTGTCTGATTGTTTCATGAACTTCTGGCTTTAGCGATAAAAAGTAATTGTACAAGCAAACGAGTAACGTTTTTCCAATGTTTTCAGCACCAAAATACCAACAGATGGGCGATGGACTATTGATAAGGAACGTAACGAGAGCGGACAGCAAAACGTACACGTGTCGAGCGATGCAAAGGACAACCGGAAACATAAGGGATCAAAATATTATTCTGAAGGTTGAACGTAAGTACCCGTCTAAAGGTTTAGTTGAGCATGATACAGACGAATTAAGATATTTATCATACACTCACGCGGAATTAATTAAATTCGAGATATATTCTACAAGGAACTTTAATTGCGCGATTGTAATTACAGGCGTGTAAAGATGAATTACAAACAGGGGCAGATGCGTGTGATGTCATTCATCAGAACACTGATGGATTTTAAGAGTGAAACCATTTGAGGGAGATAAATTTTCATGTGAATGCATTATAAATATTTAGGCCATTTATGCAGATGGGTACAAATTTTGCCGCGCGGTGCATAGTTAACCTAGATTTCGAAAAAGTGGAAGTAGAATTTATCTGCTATAGTCCAAGTCATAAATTTCTATGTTGAAAATAAATTTCGGTTTACTTTAAAATCGATAGATACAGTTAGCCCCCACGCGACTGTACGTTTCCTTTCCGGCAAATGTATAATAACATAATCCTTGAGCGAACCTTTTAATTCCGAGTGTTAATTGAAGTTAAAGATGAGCTTCCATTTCGGCGGTAGAGTTCGTTTATTACGCGAGCTTTACTGTATAATTTAGCTCTAGGCGTTTAAAATTCCAAGTACCACTTCCGGAATGAAGCACCACTATTTATTCTGACATTACTACAATTACATCTGACCGGAACATTCTGTGCTTCTCTTCGCATTAATGCTTTTTTCGAATGTGATACGTACCCATCGAATTAATCACGAATAAGAACGAAATGATCTTTATTTATTGCTGTTGACTTAGTTCCACGATTCGTATAATGGATGCCTTCCATATATGGAAATGTTTGTTCGCAAACACAAGCATATTATTATATATCCCCTCGACGATTTCGCTTATTTCCAAAACTCGGAAAAGTTTGTATATGTATACCGCCTACGCGTAGATTGTGCTAAGGTTACAAATGAAAACTGAGTTTGTGTATAGGGGTAAAATATAAAACGGGGTGGTGTTGATGCTGTGATAACTGTTAATTCTAGTTGTTTCAGCGCTTATCCTAAAATTATTAGTTATTATTACAGCGTGGAGAAACAATATTTAAGCGAGTATTTTTATAAATGGCCGACATTGAAGAATGTTTTCCAGTTTTCGTCATTCTCATTCTGTCGCTCCAAGATGTGATAGTAGTGTTCTATTTATGGGGATCGTAAGTTCCGACAGGTAATGGTCTTCACACCTCATAAATAGCACACAACTGTCACACGTCATTAGGCATAACACGCAAACACTTTTCACGGCAAAAACTGACTAGAGACTGCCATTACAACATGCAGTTCCGGTTCAGAGGGGGTGTCCTTTCCCGCCCCTACACTTTTTCAAGAATACTAAAAGGAAAAACTTGTACTAAAATGAAATTTCATAACATAACATAGTAAAATAATGCACCTAACGCATTCCGAATAAAAGTACAAGATGTTAAAAACCAAAATCGAAATAATCTCGTTTGAAACGGTTATGCTTTCTCCCAAAGGAAAATTGGGTGCGGTACCAACAAAAGCTATTAAAATTCCCTGTTCCCAACTATAGGAGCATCTCTCACAAATAAAGACGAACTATATTTCCACAGTTCGCGAGTTCGTGGAGAAATATGAACCAGGCATATCAAATTGTTGTAAAAACTTAACCCGTATTACGTTTTAGTTTACATTCAGGGAGATTTATTGGCGCATTTTCCAACACACGTTAGAAGGCTACTTGATATCCGTCCGTCCGTCTGAGGTCGCAACTACTACTACAGTTTTCAAGATATTTAGTTCGTTCTTTTTGCATTCGGTAGCTAATAACTCTGGTACCTCAACCAAGAACAATCTTGACGATTAATGTGCGCATGCGCGAAGTTTCTTATTTATAGAGATACAATTATTTTTATATTTTAACCGCAGATGGCTCTAGTAAAGACAAGCATATCGCATTTTGTAAAAATCAGATGTGCGCATGTGCAGTGTCCACTTACTTACGTATAGATATTTTTCACGTATGATCCTTTATTTTATCCTTTAATTATATTCTTCGATTTAAAGTGTTTGACCATTGCTTCTGAAGGTTTTTCGGAAGCATTTACTAATTCCAGTCCAGAGTTGACGGGTTAAGTGTGAAATACAATTCATTATTTTACATTCAAGGACCAAACAGTTTCTTAAGATACTAGTTTAACGGTGCGTCGCTGCGGTATTAGTACGAATTTTGGAAATTGGGAATACATACCAAACATTAACATAATGTTTGGAATTTGTGCGTGTTTCAACATAATGTAGCGAATTTTTTAAAGCGCTATCAAGCTGCCATCAAGTTAATAAAGGATTAGTCACCGGAGTTAAGAAATGAAAGCGGATTTTTCCATGAAGTATGAAATGTTAATTCGAGAATTCTTTAGAAGCTTTTTTTTTGCTATATAATCAATTTGAATTGTGTTTTATTTCAGTTTCACATCGACGCCGGAGTGATAAATAGTGAAATTCGCGCTCGAGTTATAAATTTTGAGTACAAGTAATTGATACATAATAATTAACTACTACATGTCAATCTATTTAGGGACCCTTATAACTTCATTAATAATTAATTGTACAACAATAAATAACGTAATTAAATTTATGTCAATGGTTTGCACCTTTCAACAGACTACTACTCTCCGGAAAGTTGACAGAAAAATCACATCAAATTTATATTGGAAGGAATTTTATTCCGCATTTCTACTCATAGAATGCGATCTTACTCGAGGTCTTGCCTAAGTTTACATCTTTCATTAGGTATTACCCACCCGCACATTAATAAAGGAGATTGGTGTAAAAAAATGACCCCCCCTCCACTTTTTTAACGGAAATGCGCGTTTTGAAGCCCCAGGAATCCGAATCAAACAAAATCTCGATGATGTCGGTCTGTCGGTCCGACTGTACTCTCATTTCCGGTTAAACAGCTGAACCGATTGGATCCAAATTTGGTACCCATATTCTTAGACATAAAAGAAAGCTTTGGCAACCCGCATGCGTAGGTGCGCGAATTGTATCTGTGCTAGCCACAGCATTTTTTAAGAGATTGTGTTCAAATGATTCTATTGATAGAAAACGAGAAAGAATATCATCCCTTGCCATTTCTATTTATATTTCAACGGCTGTTATTTATAACAAAAAAGATATTTCCTATTATTGTCATGAATGATTATTCAATTTGCAGACCGAACTAGAAAAAGAATTGAGAATTTCTTGAATTAATAGTATAGTATAGTAAATAAACCTCTCGCCAGGAAAGATTGCCGGTCACAAAACACTTGATCCCGGTCTACAATCTATATTTTTCTAAAGATGTGAGTGACAATGTTGAACAAAAAGACTTTTCGTTCAACATTGGCACGATCCTATTCCGGAAGTCGATCGCATCTTAAGAAAAATATAGATTGTAGATCGGGATCAAGTGTTCTGTGACCGGTAATCTTTCCTGGCGAGAGTTATAGTAAATAATAGTATAATAAATCCTGCAAATTAGAAAAGAGCCATTTGTTGTAGAGTTAATTTCGATCTGCAAATAAATCTAAAAAGTATATGGACAGAGAACAATATGGGCGATTTAATCGCGGGTTCCTGGAGAAAACCGACAATTTTCGCTGCCTTTGGTGCTTGAAGAAAACTATCGAGCTTTGAAAACAAAATTAGTGTACAAAAACGTAGATAAAGTCATTTTGGAATGGCAAAACAGCTATCAAAATTTACCTTCTGAGCCCATCTCTATAGAAATAATAGATAAAAATTATAAGAAAACCCCTCTCCATTTTGCAACATGGGTCAATGCGCGAAAATTGTAGATGGCCTGGTCGTCAATGGATAACGTTTCAAAAACCCTGACCTAACAAGCCAAAGTTTCAGTTAATATACTCTTCTTTCCCGCATCAACCCCACCTAACAGTCTTAAAAGGGTGTTTCGAAACAGCGTAGTTGCCGATCGGATTGTAGTTGATTAGTCGCCTTTTACGACATGCAGTTCCGCTGCAGTAGGGCTATTCTGTCCCGACCCTACACGGGTATCAATAATACTAAAAGAGGCTCATTTGATAGAGGTTTTGTTTTCTTTTCGATGATATAACATGTTAGTACTCTTATTATTAAATTAAAAAAAATTGAGTTGCGCTTGTGAAAATCTGTTATCTAATCCTTTGCTTTACTAATAAAACATCCGCTGTCAGGTCCCATCAATATAAAAAGTATGGTCATTTAAACTAATCACCAAAAATTTACTTGACACCCTCCGGATATTAATGGTAGGGTGACATTTATAAAGCTGTTAATTGGCATTATGTGGGGTGCAATTTTACTGATTGTCCATCCTCATTATTCGTTCATTTTGAAAGAACGTTGCAATTATTAAATTATAACGTATCAACATGCTATGTGTACATGAATATCAATGACCGCCGACCGGGTCAGATAATGGGATATGCTTTTACTGAAGCGCGTCTACCTCCCACAAAGCTGAAGTGAATTCTCTTGTAACTAGGCCACTGTAAACTATTTGGCAGCTACTAACAACTATGATTTATTAACGCCCTGCATAGATAGTTTCTCCATAAACGTGCAAATGGTTTTTTTTCATTCGTCTAGCTATAATCGACAAAAAGGTTACTGGGGGAATATATTAATTGTACAGCAAATTAAAATTCAAAGTTATAACCATAACTTCAGTCCGCACACATCAAACTCGTTAAAATGTTTTAAACGCAATTACGCGAATCCCATATTTAGTCATTCAACACCGGTAATAGAGTTAAAAAGTTGGCGAGCGTTTCCAGAGGGCTTTATTGCATTTTTTCCAAGAATTAGATAACAAACCTAACATGGTTTAGGCTACGTGGTTTTCCGTGCTTTACGTTTCCGGATTTCCGCATTTAATTACAATAGATTAGTTTTATCTTCTTGCATCTAAATTGCCTTAAGGAAACCACCTTCCTGCACACTTAGCAAGTATAAGGGCGCCTTTGTGTTTTGCGTTT